TGGTTCACGGTCTACTATTATTGTTCCAGTAGACAATACTATTCATAAGTGAGAGTTGCATAAGTGGAAACACAACTATGGCAAGCAAAGTACGAGATGAGAAGTTCAACGAGAACAATTTCTCGTTGTGGAAATTGAAGATGAAGGCAATCTTGAGAAAGGACAATTGCGCAGAAGCAATTGAGGGAAAACCTGCAGAAATGACGGATAAAGATTGGAAGAAAATTGACAGCAACGCTTATTGCAAATTTACACTTGGCAATGGCGGACTCGGCTCTATCCAGATGTTGCGGAGAAAGATTCTGCAAAGGAGATTTGGGATGCCCTCATTAAATTATATGAGGTGAAGTCACTTCACACAAGGATATTCCCGAAGAGGAAACTCTATACTCTTCTGGATGAGTGAGTCCACATCGGTGACTGGACCACATCAACCAACCGAACACCTTGTTTGCCCAATTAGCAAGCAGCAAATTTCAACATAGTTGAGAATGAGCGTGCGGAGCTCTTACTTCGAGCTTGCCGGACTCGTATGATCAACTCATCATCAACATTACAAATAATAATATTGAAGGACAACTACACTTTGACGATGTTGCCGGAGCTATTCTAGAAGAAGAATCCAGGCGAATGAATAAGGTAGAAAGTTCTAAACAAGCGAAGTTTTGACGATGATGAGAGGAAGATCAGCTGAACGTGGTTCAAGTGGGAGTCAAGATCATGGCAGATCTAGCTCTCGAAACAAGAAGACTTTCAAATTTAAATGCTACTACCGTGGCAAGAAAGGGCACACGAAGAAAGAGTGTTGGAAGAGGAAGAATGAAGAATCAACCTCACAAGGTTGCATTGCGAGTACTTCGGAGGAAGGAGTAATTCGGTAAGCGAAGCGAAGAATCGGCTCTAATGGCGGAAACGAATTTCATGACAAGTGGATAATGGATTCAGGTGCAACTTGGCATATGACCCCACACCGAGATTGGTTTCAAACCTACAATCCTATCTCGGGTGGATCCGTGTTCATGGGAAATGACCATGCATTGGAGATTGCTGGAGTTGGTACTGTCAAATTAAAAATGTATGACTGGTACTATTCGCACAATCCAAGAAGTACGACATGTGAAGGACTTGAAGAAAAATATATTGTCTATAGTGGCAATTGGATGACCTCTACTGCAAGATCCATGTTGAAGGAGGAATCTTAAAGGTAGTGAGGGGAAACATAGTTGTCATGAAAGCGAGAGAAAATCATGGCAAACTTGTATGTGCTTATGGGAGACACCTTGCAAGAAAATCATGCAACAACTGCGTCGACAAGCCAAGAAGAAGCGGCGATAACGTGGCACCGTAGACTTGGACATATGTCGAGCGAGGTCTCGCAGATTCTTGCGGAACGTGATCTCATACCTGGGCTCAAGAAGGTCGATTTACCCTTCGTGAGCATTGTGTGACAAGCAAACAACACAGGTTGAAGTTTGCAAGAACCACCACAAGGAGTAAGCAAACTTTGGACTTGATCCATTCCGATGTCCGGGAATCACCGAATTATCTCTGGAGGAGCAAAATATTTTGTGTCGTTCATCGATGACTACTCGAGGAGATTATGGGTATACCCTATCAAGAAGAAGTCCGAAGTATTTGCGCGGTTCAAAGACTTCAAAGCACAAGTAGAACTTGAGACCGAAGGAGAATCAAGTGTTTGAGGACGTACAATGGAGGAGAATATGTAGATGGAGATTTTCTAGCATTCTCGCAAGCAAGAAGGAATTGTGAGACAATTTTCTGTTCCACACACGCCTCGCAGAATGGTGTAGCAGAGCGGATGAATAGAACTCTTCTAGAGAGAACCGTAGCTATGCCGCAAACTGCAGTGCATAACAAAGTCTTTCTCGGGCGTAAGCCGTGAATACCGCTCGTTACTTGATAAATCGGTCTCCATCAACAAGCAATTGGGTTGAAAACTCCTATGGAAATGTGGAGTGGAAAATCAACCGATTATTCTTCCTTACATGTGTTTGGTTGTCCCGCGTACGTGATGTACAACACCCAAGAAAGGACGAAGTTGGATCCAAAATCCGGAAATGCATCTTCTTGGGATATGCCGACAATGTGAAGGGGTATCGCTTGTGGGATCCCACCGCCCACAAAGTTATTGTTAGCAGAGATGTCGTCTTTGCGAGAAAATGAACTGCAAAGCAAGCGGATAAATGACAGCTCGGAAAAGGACAAGACTATAGTACGATAGAGAAGAAGACTTCTGAACATTCCTCCGAGTTAGAGGAGGAGCATGAAGAACATGAGCCAAATGAGGTGGAAGAAGGAGAACTCCGACGATCAACAAGAGAAAGAGTCGGACCATCTTGGCATTCACAATATGTGATGGCAAGTCATGATGCGTATTGTCTCCTAAGTGAAGAAGGAGAACCTTCAACTTTTCAAGAGGCCGTGAGTGGTTCGAAGCTCCTCTATGGATGGTCGCTATGGAAGAAGAAATTGAAGCTCTTCATAAAAACAAGACATGGCACCTTGTGGAACTTCCAAAAGGTCGCAGAGCCATTGGTTGCAAATGGGTCTATAAGATCAAGAGAGATGCCAATGATCAAGTAGAAAGATATCGTGCTAGACTCGGTGGTAAAAGGATATGCTCGTAAAGAAGGCATTGATTTCAACGAGATATTCTCACCAGCTTGTTAGATTGACAACAATCGAATTGTCCTGGCGATGTGTGCTGCATTTGATTTACATCTTGAGCAATTGGATGTAAAACCGCTTTTCTTCATGGAGAACTTGAAGAGGAAATATATATGCTCCAACCGAAGGCTTCAAAGAGCAAGAAAACTTGGTTTGCAGAGTTGAACAAATCTCTATACTGCCTAAAGCAGGCGCCAAGGTGTTGGTATAAGAGATTTGATTCCTTCATTATTAGCCTCGGATACTACGGACTAAGTTCTGACTCATCAGTACTTACCACAATAGGTTTGAAGAAAATGATTTCATCATATTGTCTGTTGTATGTGGATGACATGTTGGTGGTAGGCCCTAACAAAGCTCGAATCCAAGAATTGAAGGCACAATTGGCTAGGGAGTTTGATATGAAGGACTTGGGACCAAGCAAACAAGATTTTAGGGATGCAAATTCACCGAGACGTAAAAGATAGGAAGATTTGGCTTTCTCAAAAGAATTATTTACTTAAGATCTTGCGCGCTTCAACATGCAAGATTGCAAGCCAATTTCTACCCCACTTCCCGTCAACCGTAAGTTATCCTCAAGTATGAGTCCTAGCAAGTGAAGCTGGAGAGGATCGAAATGTCTCGAGTACCGTATGCATCGACAGTGGGAAGTCTTATGTATGCCATGATTTGTACAAGACCTGACATTGCACAAGCAAGTGGGAGTGGTTAGTAGATTCATGGGGAATCCCGGTGGAGAACATTGGCAAAATGTGAAGAGGGTCCTTAGGTATATAAAAGGAACCTCAAATGTTGCATTATGTTATGGAGGATCGAAGCGCTTGTCGAGGTTATGTATATTCGGATTTTGCAGGTGATCTCGGATAAAAGGAAGTCTACTACTCGGTTATGTGTTTACCATCAATGGAGGGGCAAGTAAGTTGGTTATCCAAGTTACAAGATGTGGTAGCTCGTCTACTACTGAAGCCGAATACATGGTCGTCACCCAAGCATGTAAAGAAGCTATCTCGGATTAAAAGAATAATGGGGGAACTTGGTCACAAACAACAACAAATTGTCGTGTACTCGTGATAGTCAAAGTGCCTTACACATTGCAAGGAATCCAACCTTTCATTCGAGGACAAAACACATAGGAATAAGATATCATTTTGTTCGAGAAGTAGTAGAAGAAGGAAGTGTAGACTTACGTAAGATCCACACTCGAAAAGAACCTAGCAGATGTAATGACAAAACCGGTTAATGCCGACAAGTTTATATGGAGTCGATCCCTCTATGGCCTATCTGAAGCATAAGCAACATGGATGTGAGAGAAGAAGACATAGTGTGAAGATTTGATTAATTTCATCAAAATCTTCAAGTGGGAGATTGTGAAGGAAGAAGTCCCACATCCGTGGGAACTTCAATCGGGGCTCTCCTCCTTCTTATAAAAGGAGCCCCTCCCCCTTATTTCATACATCCCAAATATTTCTCCTTCTTTCTCTTTTACTTTCCTAGTATTGGTAATTTCCAATTGTAAAAGGAAAGAGTGGTCATTATAAAATTTTCATTTTTGCCTATTGTCAGGGTTATTTTTCTCGTCTCTATTTTAGTTGTGTGTATTTATGCTGGTACTCTGATCCTAACAATATGCTGGGTGCCAAAGGAGAAAGAAGAATCTGCTATCTCCATTGCTGTGTGCAAATTACTGTCATCTCACACAACTTCATCATTCATTTCTCTTTTCAGAAAAACCAAAATGGACTTCGTACCACTCTTTTTAAGAATACCAAAATGAAAAGGTGCATTGTGGTCGTGTAAGAGAAGAAAGAGAAAATAAAAAGAAGCCAAACAAAGACATAAGCACTTTGAAGCCAGAAAATAGAAGAATAAGAAGTAGAATCTTAGTCAAAGTAGTCAAACTTTTGTATCCAAAATCCAACCTCACACTCAAACCTCGATGGAATAACAAAAGAAGGAGAAAAACCATTTTGTATAGTTTTAATAATGCATACTGTGATCCACCACAGTACTATATATTCTCAAGACTAGTTTCTTTTGATTTTCCTCTTTCTCTCTCTTAACATTTGTTCAATAGAGACCCTTTCACAATGAAAAGTAACAACAGCAGATTCCCAATCATCCTCTCCACTCTATAGGAAACAGCCATAATTGCACCCAACAGTAACTTTCACCATAAAAAGTTAGAACCCTCTAAGCTACCCACTTCCTTGATTGCTTCATCTCTTTTCAACTTAATCTTCCAATTATATAAACCTATCAATCTCCATCAACTTCCCTTCAACCACACTCCCTTTTTCTATTTCCAAACTTTCATGATGAGTAGTTCTTCATGCACAAACTCTTCTGTCAATGGATTCTACAACTTCCTCACTCGCGGACTCAATGAGCTTCACCAATCCTTCCTCTCCCATGACTTCATGTCAATCCAATTCATTTCAGAGGTCCTCTCATCCCTCCGATCCTTCCATTCCCAGTTAACCATTTTGATCCAAAGACTCTGCTTGCCAGTTGGAGGCAAATGGCTGGATGAGTACATGGATGAAAGCTCAAGGCTTTGGGATATCTGTCATGTACTCAAATCAGCTATTTATGGAATAGAGAACTATTCCTCAACTGGCTCCAATATAACCTCCTCAGTGGATGGCTACCATCATTTCACTCCAGAGCTTTCACATCAGGTTGGCATATACACACCTCAATTTCTGTTCCAAACTTTTAGGCAAAAGCTTTGTGTTTCACATGACCAAATCAATCTTTTCTCTTACTATGGGTTTCTCCAAATGCAGTGGACCAGAAATCAAGTTTACTTAAATTAATGAGTCTAATAGTGTGTTTGGTTGCACGTTACAGATGTAAACTTGCACGTTTACTCAAAAGCTAGTAGTTGTAGTTTTTATCAGGCTGAATTGATGTGATTCTTTGCTTTCTGATGAGTTTCCAAACAACATGAACCAAGTTCTTCTAACACACGCATATTGCAGGTGGTTAGGGCCATAAACATTTGCCAAAGGGAGAGTCTAGGATTGGTAGAGGAAAACAAAAGCATGATGGAAACAAGAATTCAGGCGTTGTCTCAATGTCTAAATCAGAACATGCGTATGGAATCAAAGCTAAACGAGTTCAATGGCTTCCGAGGAGTACTTTGTGCAATGAGGAGTGTTAGCTCATTGCTTCTAATGATTTTGCTCTGTGGGGTTGCATATTGTTGGTCTTCCTCGTGCTTTGAGCAACAAGGGTATGAAGGGCACATGGTTTTTGGATCAGGTTTTGTGGTTTCTATGGCAAGATTGCAGCAGAAAGTTGCACATGAGATTGACCAGAATAATGGGCAGCCAGGGATTCTGCTTCTTGAATTTCAACAAGCAAAAATTGCCGTGGAGGAATTGAAAGTGGAGTTGGAGAGAATGGTGGGCTACAATGAGCAGTATGAGATCCAATCAAAAGTTGACAACTTGAAACGTTGCTTTGGGTTGTTGAGATGTGGGGTTGAGACTATAACAGGGCAACTTGATGATTTCCTTGATGAAATTGTGGAAGGAAGGAAGAAGCTTTTGGACATGTGTAGTCATAAATAGATGTACATAATTCAGTTTAATGAAGCCATAGCAAAGGTTGAAAAATAGTTGAGAGCAAAATGAAGCTCTTTAAGGGAAAATAAAAAGGAAAATTTATGTTGAAAAATGGAAGCAATGTCATAATTTTTTTTCTGATATTCCTTTTTTTCTATCTGCTGAATGGATAGGCAATTGATTTACTAGTTAGTTGGCTTTGGTGTTGAGGCCTTGAAGAAGAAGCTTTTCCAATGAAAATCAAAGAAAAATGGAAAAGAAGAGAATGTGATACTTGCTTTGAAGTAAAGCAACATTGCTCTTGTGATTCATGAGAAACCAGAATTTTAAGATGCCAATGCCTTCAAGTAAGAGAAACGTCTTTCAATACAGAGGTGTAGTATTCTTTTTCATGTATTGGGTACATGAGAAGAAATTTAAAGAAAAAAAAGAAGTTTCTCATTAAAAAATTGATGCTTTTTCTTTATCAATGAAGCCTAGTAGAATCTCTTCTCTGTCATAACTAGGAATTCATAAAAGAAGGTGTATTTTTTGTATTTAAGAGAGAAACATGGTGGTACTCAGATAACAATAACAAGCTCAAATCATTCATTCTTTGTAAATTCAACCCATGCTAAAGAAAATTTTGTTTTTTAGATATAAATAACGTAGCCTTTGTGCAAAGGTTAAGAGAAAAACTTTGTCCAAGTTGAGACCCTATAAAGCCTAAAAATATACTACTATGTGAAATCTACCTTTCAAATAAAGCTTTCTTGTCCCAAGGGTGGTTGATAACTCAACAACAACAACAGATCTTCCTCAGTTAAAGTTAAATTGATTGTCTGGGAAAAGAAGAAAGTAGATTTGATAATGATTTATAACATACAAAATAGGATTGTGCTGCCTCTTTCTTGGACAAAAGAAGAACCTTAAAGAATAAATAAATTGTATTTTAAAGAAATAATAGTAAACTTTTTTTTCACTTGTTTCACTCCCTTTTCACCTTGCTTTTGGACGTCTTTTTTTTTTTTTTTCTGTATATCAAGTAATTTATTTGCTTTACTGGTGCTAATTTACTAATATGTGACCAAATGAAATCTAATTTCCATTTGCATTTATCATGGTGAAGGTGGATCAAAGGTTAATCAAAATATCTTAATGAAAAAAATGATGAACTTTTAATGTTACTGCCATGTACATAATAATTTATAAATGATTTTGTAAATAATTATTATATAAAGAAAATACCATATCATATATGACAATTAATAACTAAATGTCACACTCAAAATTTGTACATTTTCATAGCATCTTACATCATCATGATTTAAATTACTGTTTTGAAATTGGACCAAGAGGTTCAATCGGTTTAAAAGCTTATTTGTTAGTTTCAAAAATTGAAATTTAGAGACCAAATAATAAGTGAAAATATGATTAATTAATTAAAAATTTTAATAATGTAGAAAGGATGAAAAAGAAGATTGGGTTAAAGATAAGATAAAATAAAACAAATATGAAGCATGGAAGAATGGAAATGACATATTCTCTTATTATTATGATGAGTAATGAGAAAGAGATGCAAGCATAATCCCCTTAATGGAGATTCCTAGATTCATTTGTAAACAATACCCTTGTCTTTATCAATGAGGGTCACTATCCAAGTCACTCCATTCAAAATTTGCAAAAAGTGTGCTTTATTTTGGTAATAAAAAATCTTATATCTAATTAAATATTATAAAATTAATTTATTAAAAATAAAAATTATATTTATCTATATACTATAATTTTATTATATATTTAATCAATATGAAATTTTATCCTACCAATTATTTTAAAAAAGATTTTCTTTATGTTTCAAACAAAATCTTTCATTATTCAAGACAAACAACAAGGTGAAAGGGGTAGGTACATTTTGTTCCAAATCTAATTAAGGGTTGATTTTGATTTTTGGAAAATGCTTTGTTTGATAAAATTTAAGTGGGTGTATCAAATATTCATTTCAAAAGAAGAGTAAATGTTTATTGATTTCAATACACTTTCTTTTTTATGAATCTAAACCTAGATTTCAGTCTAAAAGGGTAACTACAATCATAAAACGTTCATCCACAACTAATAATTCAACTTGAGAAATCAAAAACAGAGAAAAGGCCAAATTATTGTAGATAGAGACAAGTGATGTGGTGAGCACAAACATAATAGTCCACTTCCAATCTGTGATTTGAAGACTGAACATAGCATAATATTTAGAGGGTGAAAACAAACACCTCAAACTTATAAATCACAATACTGTCACAGCTAGAAAAACCTTGTACCATGTCAATAGAAATGTACAATTCATCTTTATGTCATAAAACTAAATTTTATATATAGATACAGCCAAAACATTCACCCTGAAATTGGGGAAAAAGTGAACCAAAACAATCTAGTTTATCATTATCCACAAAAATGAATGGTTCTTTTTTGTGCTTCCTTGACTCATTTCTGATGCATGATTACTTTCGTCTGCCTCTGCATTATGTCTTCCTCTATTCCCCTGCCAAAGCTACAGGTGTGGTTTTGGCTTCGTTTACAATTTTCATGATCTCTTCTATACTTTGAAGAGAATGTTCTGTATTTTCTTCATTGCAGTAGACATCTTGAACCTCTTCTCTCAATTCCTCAGGTAAGTTCTTCAAAAACCATGGATGTGACTTGATTTCCTTCATGGTGATTCTCTAGAATAATCATACAGAAGAGTTACAATTACAACATGCATACACCTGGTATAGTGTATCATGCCATAGTTATAATTGTTCCTTTCTTCACAATGTTTATCCCAAAAAAGTAATTCAACGATTATGTTTATATACATACCTTTTCTGGATCTGCCACAAAAATACGAGATATCAGATTTTTACTATCTTGAGATAAAACATTGTTGGGGAACTCGTATTGAACAGCCACAACTCGCTGCATATATAAAAAGTATACATGGAAAATTAGAAGGAATGCAGACACATAACATGGTGAATTTATTAAGATTGTTGAAAATGAGGTAAATACATAGTGCATCAATGTAAAGATAGTAGAAATTTTACACTGGTTTTCAATCGCAAACCATTATATATAGCATTTGTAATGACTGTTCAAAGTTATGTTCACAGTAATTTCTGATTGATTAACGGTGTAAAAACTTTTACAATGATAATACATGAAAATAAAACTCAAAAACAAAGAATATTACTTGAACGATTTTCTGGATATTTTGTTGGTCCTCTTTGTCCATAAATGGCAATGTTCCTACAAGTATTGTATAAAGTATTACTCCACAGGACCATACATCTGCCAACTGGAAAGCAAACACATCAGTCAAAAAATGCACAAAGCTAGCATATAATACAAGAAAAAACTCATCTAGTTAGAGTAAACTCTGAGAGATTTTATGTGCTTCATACCTCATATCATAATTGAAATAAATATGTCAGTTCCTAATTCACTCTAACAAATAAGTGTAACTGCGTGTGTTAAGTAACTGCTGAACAATTGAACTGCTAGAACAATCTTTTTGTGATCCAAAGTTAGAAGCTCTTTCATTACCTTTCCATCATAACCTTTCCCAGAAAGGATCTCTGGTGCAATATATGCTGGAGTTCCTAACTTTGAATGAGTTCGCGAATGAAGTATATATGACTAGAAAATTAAAGATTATCAGAAGCAGAAATTAGTATCAAATAATGTGTATTTAGTAAGTTGTTTGTTTTAAGCATTCAATATTGGTATTAATGATTGAACCTTAGAATAGCCAAAATCACAGATTTTAAGACGATTTGCAGAGCTTCCATCCAATAAGGTATTCTCCAACTTCAAGTCTCGATGACATATTTCCTACAGAAGAAGACAAAAAATCATAATGCTACCAATACACACTGAAAACAAACAATCCATTGTCAGAGTAATATGCATTTTTCATTTACCATGTTGTGGCAATAACTAACTCCTGCAATCAACTGTTGGAAGAAATGTCGAGCCTGAAATATTTTCAAGTCACAAGAAGAATCAGAAACAAAGTGATAATATTTAGTCAATGATTAAATTAACTATTTGAATTATTAAACACGTTCAGTATATTCTTGGAACGACTCATGATAATTTAGGCTACTTTCATCTTATGTGACTTAAGGAAAATCTCTCTCATCAGACAATTTTATCAAATATGTGAAAACCATAGCCATGAAAGCATTGAACAAAAGTGAATCATTCTCTATTGTCAAGCATATAATTAAATTTTTAATCCTTTCTTTAATTCATGATAAAAACAGTTAATATGCATTTATATGATTATATCAATTTAGGTATATATATTAATATTGATAAAGAATCCTCCACCAAGTTAGGAGGTGGTAATGGAATCTCAGATTAACTAGAGATATGATATTTCAGTATATAGATGAGTAGAATTCTAAAGTCAATTTTGTAAAATCAAATTAGGTATCTCACCAGTAAAAAAATAATATTATCATATACAATTATCTTCTATCCCAATTCATCAACTCGAATCCTAATTTGTTGGTCTCAATTTCAGTAAAATTGGTGAGAGAAATCAGAGCATTGCTTTATTGATTGTTTATGACATGAATGAAAATGTGAGTGAGTTAGAGAATACTTTATCTTCTTGCATTCTTCTTCCAAAAACTTGATTAAACAACTCTCCACCCGCTGCATACTCCATAACTATTGCAAGATGTGTTGGAGTCAAAGCCACCTGCAACTTCAAATTCCCCATTAAACACCACTTTTTTATTTTTATGCGTTATTATTCCAAGTTTTAAGACTGTTAACAAAACTAATCCTGATAAATATCATTTTTAAAATAACTATTAAAGACATCAATAAAATTATTATACCTCAACTCTATACATATATACATTGTTCTTCAGTAAGCAACATTTTTGAACATAATAATGCAGCAGTATCAATGAAGAAACATACCTCTATGAACTGAACAATATTGGGATGACGAAGACATCTATGGTTCATGATTTCCCTGTCCACACTCTCCTCAATCTGCGAAAGAAATCCTCTAGAGTAAAAGATATATCTTAAATAATAATTGAACTTATGATGCAGTTAAGTATACATAATTAATTTTGTAATAAAAATAAATAATTTTTAATATAAGCTATATTTTAAATTTTTAGTAAATAAATTTTTTAAAATATTAAAATTGTTATTATTATTCATCTTTGTTGGTAGAGAAATAATTAGTAGAGAGAGAAAAGTATATCACATTCTAAAGAGTTGTCAGGTTTTTGGTTTTTAGTTTTCAAATATAATTTTTAAAATAAAATGTTTTGGGCAAAGATAATGTTGCAAATAATTTTTTACTTAATTTCTATATATTTTATGTTTATTTTCAAAAAAACAAATCATAAATTTAGGGTACGTTTAGTTTAAGAAAATATTTTTTAAAATTTATTTGCTAAAAATAGTTTTCATTTGCAAATTTTAAGATTCTGATTCAGTCCTTATAAAACACTTTTCTTTAATTTGTATCTCTCCAAACTTTCAAATCACTATTTTAGTTCTAATAAATTATTTTAGAGATTTAAACTTTTCTTTTAAATATTACCTAATGTAAATATTATAATAACACTACACTATTAGTAATCAATTGGAATATCAATTGAATTTGTGTTCAAAACAAAAGCAATTAACTGATATAAAATAATATATAAATAAAAATGGTTTAAAGGTACTAAAAAAACACAAGATCAAAATTAAAATCCACTTTTTTTTAAGATAAACTAAAAATATCCTAAATTCAAAAACTAATTGTTAAAATTAAAAATCAACTTAAACTAAAAAATATTTTTAAAAAATAAAAAATGGTTATAATTTAAAAGAAATATTGAAAAATGAAAAAATAACATTGAAAACACTAAATTTATTGAAAAATGAAAAGAGAAGTGGAAGAATATCCAAACGGTAAATTAAAAAAAATTGCATTCTTGAAAATTTTATTATTATTGAAAAAAACTCAGAAATCCTGAATTGTATAGAATTGAAAAAATCAGTTCTAAACACATGATCACACTGTATCTTAAATTCATCGAAACTATCACTTATCATGTTATTGATGCATCAAAAACCTAAATTACAAAAATGAAAATCAGCAGTGGTAAAACAAAACAGAAGTTGAGAAGTGAGATGGTACCATGTAGTGTCGGGGGATGAATTTGACAGCAACGAGGTCTTTGGTCTCTCTGTGACGCATAAGCCTCACCATTGCGTATCTTCCATAACCTATGCTCTCTTTCACCACCTCGTACTTCTCCATTCCTTGATTTCTTCGACTGTGTTCCTTCGTCAAATGCAATCACTCAGTAGCACAACTGAATGATAAGGAAGCCCTTGATGATCAGAAAAGAAGGGAAGAAACGTTAGATATACATAATTTTCAAATTATGACAAGTTTAGGGTATGAATTAATAAGGATAGAAACGATTAAGAGATAAAATGTTAACTTATTTATTTATTACTCAATGTTAATAATAATATTATAAATATAATATAATCGTGTATCCGATTTTTTATTTTAATGTATTAAAGTTTAATATATATATATATATATATATATATATATATATATATATATATATATCAAATATAAATATTTATTTTAAAATTATTAGAGACTGATAAATTGTAAGACAGAGTGTTAAGATGAGTAGAGACACAAGAGAATATATAATTTTTATTTATTATTTTATATTTGAGAAAAAAATTAAGAGAAATAAATTATTGATTAAAAAAGTAAAGAAAAAAATAACATAAATATATTTTTTCTTATTGATAAAATAATTTTATATATTAAAAAAAAAGTATTCTTACATATACTAGTGTCGGATCTTCATAATAGTTAAGGGGCTATGACCCTCTCAAAGTTTTGTAACTTATTTGTATATTTATGATTTTGGCCCTCCATATTAAATATATCATAAAAGAAAAAAATTAAAGGAATAAATTAAATAAGAAAGATTAGAAATAATTTTATTATCTGACCTTTCTATATTCTCTCACTCTTTTGTATACTCTTTCATTAAGGGTAATATTTTATTAGTATTTAATTGCTTCTCTAATTTCTAAAGAATATATTAAATAAGAAAGGTTAAAAGTAGTTCTTCATCTTCTTTCACTTTTTCATATTCTCTCACGAACGATAATATTGATTGATTAATATTAAATTATTTCTGTAGTTTATACTTCTAAATTAATTGTTCGTCTCTCTTCTTCCCTCCTCAGATTCCATACTTGAAATTATATTGATTGACAAAAGTACTCTTTCTTCATCTTTTCAATGTTTATTCTATTATTATTTGTTATTTTGATTTTTGTTGAGGAACATTTATTATTTGAGAAAACTATTTTTGTTTTTTTATAAATTTTTATGATTCTATAATTAGAAAATTAATAATAGATTCATTTTTTTCTAAATATGAAGCATAAAAGAATAGATTCATTTTTTAAAAGTGATAAAAGAGATACTTGTAGAGATGAAAATCAAACAAATTCAACATCTTCTCCTATTTCAAAACATGATATTGATGATCCAATTATCAATTAGAATAACCCCTTTCTAAGATTCATATAATTAAAACCAATGAATTTAATATTAATTCTTTGGAGCGTGACCCAGAAAACGTCTTCGAGATACATGAATATCCTATGAATCAAAGAAATGAAATTAGAAAAACTTATTTAAATTGGGGTCCATATCAAATACAACTTAAAAACTATCCTTTTTTTTAAAGAGAAACATCCTAGGGGATTTCAATATAGTTGATTTTAAATGTTTCCTTCTTGGTTAGAGTATTCTCCAACTAGTGATGAAGCTTATTGTTTTCCATGTTATCTATTTAGTACACTGTCAAATGATCGTCCTGGGGCAGATGTGTTTATTAGACAAGGATTTAGATCATGGAAAAATGTTAATTCAGGAAAGAATTGTGCGTTTCTTAGTCACATTGGAGATAGTCCTTGTTCACCACATAACAATGCAATAAAAGCATGTACAGACTTATTGAATCAATCTAAGCACATTGACAATATTATAAATGTGCAAAATTCAGAAGAAGTTTGCAAAAATCGTTTACGGCTTAAAACTTCTATTGATACAATTCGTTGGCTAACATTTCAAGCTTGTGCATTTAGAGGCCATGATGAAACTCCAGATTCAAGTAATAGAGGTAGCTTTCTTGAGATGATTAAACTTTTAGCATCATACAATGATAAAGTAGAACAAGTTGTGTTAGAAAATGCTCCTTATAATTCAAAATATACTTCTCATCATATTCAAAAGGAAATTTTGCAAATTTTTTCTAGAAAAGTAAGAAATTATATTCGTGAAGAAATTGGTGACTCAAAATTTTGTATAATTGTTGATGAAACTTGTGATGAATCTAGAAGAGAACAAATGACTATTGTTTTGAGATTTGTAGATAAAATGGGTAATATTAAAGAACGCTTTTTTGATATTGTGCATGTTAAGGATATTATAGCTGCTACTCTTAAAAGAAAATTATGTGTTGTTCTCTCTAGACATAATCTTGATGTTTGCAATATTTGTGGGCAAGGATATGATGGTGCTAGTAATATGAGAGGAGAATGGAATGGATTACAAACATTATTTCTTCGTGATAATCTTTATGCTTATTATGTACATTATTTTGCTCATAGATTACAACTTGCTTTGGTTGCTGCTTTAACAGAAGTTAGTCCAGTTCATCAATTTTTTTCAAATTTGGCTTTTATTATAAATGTTGTTTGTTCATCTAGTAAACGTCATGATGAATTACAAAGTGCAGAATTAGATGAAATAGCAAAATTGTTAGAACTTGGTGAACTTGAAATCGGTAAAGGAAAAAAATCAAATTGGCACTTTAAAACGAGTTGGTGATACTCGTTGGAGTTCACATTTTCATTCCATTTGTAGTATGATGAAATTGTATAGTTCATCTTGTTTAGTTCTCCACAAAATTATAATTGATGGTTCAACTTATTCTCAAAGGGGTGATGCTGATGCTGCTTATAATATTTTGTCTGAGTTTGAGTTTGTATTGATTTTACACATGATGAAAGAAATTATGGGAATTACTGATTGTCTTTGTCAAACTTTACAGAAACAATCTCAGGATATACATAATGTTATGCAGTTAGTCTATTCGACTAAAATTTTGATTCAAAAATTAAGAGAGGAGGGTTGACAAGATTTGTTGAAAGATGTGATATTATTTTGTGAGCAATATGACATTGATATTCCTAATTTTAATTCTAACTATGTAGCACGTCATGGTTGTTCTCGAGATAAAAAAGATTGTATTACAGTAAAACATCATTTTAGGGTGAACATATTTTTTATTACAATGGCTAAACAATGACAAGAATTAAATGATAGGTTTAGTGAGAAAAAAAATGGAACTTTTAACTTTAAGCAATACTTTAATTCCAAATTATGTTTATAAAATTTTTAACATTGATCATATATGCACACTTGTGAACAAATTTTATCCTTTGGATTTTAGTGAACAAGAGAAGATTAATTTAAAATTTTCATCATTTTATACTTGATGCTCCTAACCATCCAGATTTGAAGAATTTGTCTACCATGCTTGAATTATGTCAATCTTTGACAAAAACAGGTAAGTCAGATACATTTTACTTAATAGATCGTTTAATTCGTCTTATTTTAACTTTTCCTGTTTCTATAGCTACAACTCGACAAATCATTTTCTGCAATGAAGATTATCAAAACAAAACTGCGAAATAGACTGGAAGATGAAATTCTTGCAGATAATATGATCATTTATATTGAGAAAGAAATAACTGAAAACTTTAGTTATGATTCCATTATTGATGAGTTCAAACATTTAAAAGAACGAAGGATACAACTTTAAATAAATATCTTATTTTTATTTATTATTATATAATTTTTTTATAATTGGCCCCAGACTTATTGGTCAAGATCCGATCACGGATTATATAGATATATTTTAAATATTTATTTATAAATTAATATATTTTATTCAATAAATTTGTAAAATATTAATTATAATTAATAATTTAAACTTAATTTATTAATATTTATAATTTAAATTATAATATCAGAGTATATTTCTATCTTTATTTAAAAAAAATTACATTCATTCCTCAGATATATTATATTTGTATCATATGATACTATATGTGGAATATAAGTCAAATTTCAATCAATAATTATAACCGTAATTTTTTTTTAAGAAAATTATTTTACTCTTATTAATACTAATTCATTAAAAATTATCTTTGAATTTATAATTGGACGATAGTTTAAAAAGTTATATACTACCAATCCCTCTAAAATTAACTTTATTTTCTAAACTAAATGACTTTTGAGGCATTGAACGGCTACTAGTTTAAGTTTACACTTAGTTTTGAATGTGATTGAAACAACGGAAATATTGAAACTAAATATAAATTTTATAAATAGATAAATTTGAATATAATATTAAATTTTGTTTTTGTTTTCAATTAGTTTGAATTTAAACATTTTACACTAAAATATCTAAATTTTAGTTTTAGTTTTTTTTTTGTAAGAAAAATAATTTATCTGTTTCCTTTGCCCCTCTACTCTTGGGATGTACCATATTTGGTTCAGAAAACACTTATTTTTTTATACTATTAAGATTTTCTTATTTTAATTTTTTATTACATAAAATATTAGTAATGATAAAAAATAATTAGCTTCTATATTTTTATATTACGCTATTTATTTTAATCATTATATTATTTATAATATTTATTTAAATATTTTGATATTAATATTCATGATTTTTTTCATATTACACTTTTTTAACCATTGAATTAACTAATATAGTGATGTCTACATATATATTTAATTTTTTTTGAAAATATTTTATGATATGATCTAAAATAAGTAGTAGAATACATAAAATGATAATATAGAAAACAATATTTTAGTTTTTTTTTAAGTAATACATTCACATTTAGGAAGTAATTACTAATATGGCTAGTATTTTAATTCTTAAAATGGCTAAATATGTTATATTGAAATATTTAATCATATAAAAATATTTTATTACATTCTTTCAATTAATCAGATGAATATATTCAAATCTGGAAACAAATAACAGTATTTAAAAGGTAATAAAATTTATTAGAACTTAAAATCATATTACCAAAAACAAATTCCCAAAACTAGTTTCTGAAAAATAAAAATGCAAAAAAATCAACGCAAAGAGAAAAAGCTGATGTGGATTGAATTTTTTTTTCAAGAATTTCGAAATCAAATTTTTAAAAATATTTCGAATTGATTATTTTAAAATGTTTTAAAAATATTTCAGATTTTTTTAAAATATTTTAGATTAATTTTTTGGGATCATAAATTAATATTGTAATCTAGAAATTAAACTATACATATAGTCATTCTCCAGTTTAATTTTGTAAAAACTTTTTATATTGATTTTTATAGAATGATAAAATAAAATTTTAAATTTCATTTTTTAGAACTTAAAAAAAGTTATATGATTTCAAATTTATCAATCCAGAACACTCCAAGATTCTAAAATACATTGGAATATTATTGTGTTTTATAGAAAATATGGAGTTGCAAGATGAAACCATGGGTGTTGGAAAAAATGAGGAAGAGAAAAATAAGTGTGAATAGTAAATTCTGGGCCCATATATGGCCCATAGATTGTGAGAAAAAAGAAACCAGGCTAATAGCCCAGGATGAAAACTCATCAGAAGTGAGAAACCATGGGTTCATTTGACGTTCCTGTTTCAAACAAAAACCGTAATCAAACAAATTTCACTTATCGTCATTCATTTCATTCAATTCAGCGTAGTTTGTATTGTAATTGTAACCTTATAGTCCGTGTTTGGCTTTCTGTTCTGTTCAGTTCTCTTCTTCCATTCTCTTCTCTCTCTTCTCTTCCATCACCGCCATGTTCGTCCAATCCCGATCCCTCCTCTTCCCGCTCTTCTTATCTCTCTTTCTTTCTTCCGCCTTCGCTTCAGAGTCAGATCACAAGGTAATCAATTCCTGAAACCCCTCCTTTTCTTCTTTCCAATTCGATCTACTCTCTCTTTGCTGCATTGGGATTTGGATCTGCCCACCGCGTCGCTTTTTAGCTCTTACTACTACTCAATTTTAACTTTTAGCTTCGGATTTTATAAGATTACAATGGTTGTGCTTTCCGAGTGTTAGATCTCAACTGGGTTTTTGCTTGTGCTCACCTTGGTGTTTCTGCAATGTGGGTGTTTGCTGTTCAATGTTTGGCCTTTTCTTTGAACACAGAGATTCAATTTGACTTCTTCTTTCCCTTTCAGTTCTGTTGTTAGTTCATGATCTTGGATTATTTATTTTTTGTTTTTTAAAGTAATTTTTTGTAATGCTGAGCTAGTTTTTCGGTTGAGATTGAGCTTAGGTTTTGAAATTGAGACGCCAAACTGTATTATGTGAGTTTTGATGTGGGCAGTGAAAGAACTTACATGGTGATAGGCTTTGGTATCTAGTCTGTTGTTATTATGTTCATCAATTGTCACCAGGGGATGTGTGAAACGAGGGTGGACTGAAATTGGACCAAACAGCAAAGGAAATTCGTTGTTGCTTAGAAGTTTTAGCTTACAATCGTGACGTCTGCATGGAAGCTTGATTGGTTTTTTGTTGCATTATGTGCTGTCTGTCTGCAGTTTTTTAGTATCGTAAAGATTGATGTGGAACTCTGGAATTCTATCTATGTACCTTGTTTCTAGGTTAAAAGTTTCTAGAACAGTATGTTCAAGTTGCTAGTCATATCTGCTGTCTGTTGTGAATCTTCTTAGAATTGGAAAAAGGTTCCATGGGAAAAAAATGGTTTGTGAATAATTATGTACTCCGTACGATTCTATGGAGCGTCTGGAGATTTCAATCACATTTTACCCTAACATAACAAGTTTTTAATGGTGAATTAGTTTGAGTTAGAGTCCTTAAGTAATGTTTAAGATCAGGGCATCATCTTATGAGTTGTGTTTTTTATGCTAACAAGCTTGTTATCTGGATCTCGTAATAAAATTGGTTTCCAAGACAAAGATTTTGGATTTTCTTATATAAATTTGAGATTGAATTTAGACAGCCATTGCATGTCTCCTAGAAAGTTTAAAATGTTGACTTTACATTTAGCTTTGCCGATGTGTGGTATTGTTCAAGAAGACTACTATAGGTTAGATTGTATAATTGATTACCAAAGATTAAAATAACTTAGTATATGCTGTTTGTTTTTTTAATTTTATTGGCATAATAGTTAGTTTTATAATTCAATTCATGCAGTATGCTTGCCTCCTCTATAGATGTGGTTGTCTAATTCTCTTTATTGACAATTAGTTGTAACTTTTAATGAGTTCCTATTCTATATCTGTTATCCCAGAATTCTTTCCTAATGAGCTAGTGAAACAGATTAAACATATAATTTTCATTTGTAATATCAACTGGTGGGCAGCTTCTGTTTTTAAATGAATGTATTTTATTTTATTGCAGTATCTACATGATGAACCAGTTACCCTTTGGGTGAACAAATTGGGTCCTTATAACAATCCACAAGAAACGTACAACTATTACAGCCTCCCATTTTGTCATCCATTAAGTAGTGCTAGTGCTGCACACAAATGGGGTGGTCTTGGTGAGGTCCTGGGTGGCAATGAACTCATTGATAGCCAAATTGATATAAAGTTCCAAAGTATGAAGGCTTCTGTCATACTATGTTATGCATAAAAGAGCTTTCTGTTGGCAAACTGGCTTTAATGGATTCTCTTGTTTTCAGAAAATGTGGATAAGACTGTCTTTTGCCAGATAGATCTTGATGAAGCAAAGGTGAAACAGTTCAAGGATGCAATAGAGAATAATTACTGGTTTGAATTTTTCATCGGTATGTTTTCCTTTGTTTCATTCACTTATTACTATGAGAACTTACAGAATGATTGCACATTCAAGAAATGTTGGAAGCTTGCAGAAATTGTTTTCCTTGGCCAATACAGTAACATGAAGGATAAAGTAAACACATGAAAGTGTATAGCAGAAGTAACCAGAGAGCCCCTAAAAACTAAGAAACTAACATCCCTAGACTTGAGGAACGCCATTTTAAGGGTTCCATTTGAGTTGTGATTGATTTTGAACACCCATTTTCACCCCACTGCATTATTTGCCTTTGGCTGTTCTACCACATCCGATGCCCATGCCCAGTTCTTTTACAGATCTTTCATCTCTTTTTCAAAATAGCGTCCTTGCACTCAGGAAGAGCATACTGTATATTATTGTTAGAGAGTATGTAGGATGTTGTTAGTATGGATGTGCAGGCTCTTATTCTGAGCCTTGTGTATTGTATGTTTTCCTGTCAATTGGTTAGTCATTGGTTTCTGTTACAATTCAGTTACAACTGAACCCCTCCATTTCTCTTAAATCTAAGAATCAATTCCTAATAATCTAAGAATTGTGTATTGTGTATTGTATACATCTAACAAAAGGGTTGTATTATCTTTTACACATGTTTTATATCAATTCCTAATTCACCTCAACCATAGGTTTGGGTAGCATCTATATTCTCTATAGATTATTTAGTCTGCATCAGACATTAAATAGTATAAAAGCTTATCATGGTCTTACCCTATCCTATTCGGGCTCTTATAGCTTTCCGTCAGCATTCTAGCATATCTTATGCGTGTTAATTTCCATATTAGACTCACTACTAGCTGAAAGTATGAAATTAAGAATTCTGTGTTAAGTTATTTCTGAAGTATTTTCAATATCTTAGTATTAAATAATCATCAATATTATTCTGTCTTGATTATCATAATGTTGCCAGGACTTGTTCTGAATGCTTCTTCTTATTGTATGACTTTAATTTAATAATTATTTCTCGCTGGTTCTTAAAATGAATAACTTACTAGCATCTGTTGTTTCTTATTTCTTCTGATCTTCTCGGTGATGCACTAAATACAAGTTCAGATGATCTACCATTGTGGGGTATGTTCAGAACTGCCTCTTCTCCTTTTTCTTTATTTGATATGATGTTGTATTTCACTTGATGGTCATTTATCTAAGACACTTTTTCATTTTAAGGATATGTTGGTGAGCTACATCCTGATAAGAATGGTGGGGGCAAGCATGTCCTTTACACACACAAAAACATTATTGTTAAATACAACAATGATCAGGTCAGAATTTATTTAAGTATCTTGTGCTTTCTTAAACAGGTTATGGATTCTTGAAATTTCATGTTAAGGTCTGTTTCCTTGTAGATTATTCACGTCAATCTAACTCAGGATATCCCAAAGCCTTTGGAAGTAGGAAAACATTTGGATATGACATATTCTGTAAAATGGGATTCTACCAATGTCACTTTTGGGAGCCGCTTTGATGTCTACCTGGACCATCCTTTCTTTGAGCATCAGGTACAGCTATGTCTCTAAAATTGAAACGGTGTTGTTTATGGTTTGGTGAATTGCTATGTATGCATGCATGTTGATCCTACCTTAGCTCTGTTACTGAGAATTTTGTGTTCATTTTCCCTAGATTCATTGGTTCTCCATTTTTAACTCCTTCATGATGGTTATCTTCCTTACTGGATTGGTGTCAATGATATTGATGCGAACTCTGAGAAATGACTATGCAAAATATGCTCGGGAAGATGATGATTTGGAAAGTCTGGTTGGTTTCAGGACTTTTATCTTTAATAATTTGTGGAATGTGAATCCTTAATTCCTAGGGAAGCCATCATGATTCTAACTGTTGAATGTTTGGTCATTTCTTCCATGATTGCAGGAGAGAGATGTTAGTGAAGAATCTGGCTGGAAACTTGTGCATGGTGATGTTTTTCGGCCTCCTCGCAACTTAGTTATTCTTTCAGCTGTGGTTGGCACAGGTGCTCAGCTAGCGTTGCTGGTTCTTCTTGTCATCTTGTTGGCTATTGTTGGGATGTTGTATGTTGGGTATGTGCATAACTTTCAACAAACTAAAACAGTCAGAATAAATAATTCAACGGTATTCTAGTTGTGTACAAATTTTCCTATATGCAATACACATGTGGAAGTTATGGAGTATATCAACTATCTCTACTTCATACTAGTAGGAACACTTTTGTGTGTGTTCCTTGCTCTTTTGTTGATTGTCATGTAAGTTTCCTTCATTGCTTGTCAGGCGAGGAGCAATTGTCACTACCTTCATTGTGTGTTATGCTCTTACATCCTTTATTTCTGGTTATGTGAGTGGGGGAATGTACTCACGGAATGGCGGTAAGAACTTTCTTTTATTTTCTATATGTTTGGGTGGCTGTCTTAGATTTCTCCTTTTGGGTTTGAATGATTATGTAATTATTTCTGTCTTTTTGTTAGGTAAAAACTGGATTAAATCCATGATCCTTACAGCTTCTCTATTCCCATTCATGTGCTTTGGAATTGGATTTATCTTAAACACTATCGCTATATTCTATGGGTCTCTAGCAGCAATTCCATTTGGCACAATAGTGGTTGTATTTGTCATTTGGGCTTTCATCTCTTTCCCTCTAGCACTTCTTGGCACAGTTGTTGGAAGAAACTGGAGCGGTGCTCTGAATAATCCCTGTCGTGTAAAGACTATTCCTCGTCCCATTCCTGAAAAGAAGTGGTACCTCACACCCTCTGTGGTTTCTCTGATGGGAGGACTACTACCCTTTGGAAGCATATTTATTGAAATGTATTTTGTATTCACTTCCTTCTGGAATTACAAGGTGAATCAAGCCACTACTCACTGGTTTTAGTTATGAAGTTTCCTCTTTACTTACTGGTTTGGAATTGGATATAAAAGTTATTCATGCGGCATCAGAGCAGAGCAATATCAAGGAAAATAATTGTTGAAATTTGTCTTTTAAAGTAAAATACGTGTGTATCAGTTGGAGCTGTGTGAACACCTGCACGGATGCTTATATATTTTTCCTCCTTTTTGCCATGCAGGTGTACTATGTATATGGCTTTATGCTGCTAGTCTTTCTGATTCTTATCATCGTTACTGTTTGTGTGACAATTGTGGGGACATACTTTTTGTTAAATGCTGAGAACTACCACTGGCAATGGACTTCTTTCTTTTCAGCTGCCTCAACAGCTGTTTATGTGTATTTGTACTCAATATACTACTACTATGTGAAGACAAAGATGTCAGGCTTCTTCCAGACCAGCTTCTATTTTGGTTACACTTTGATGTTTTCTCTTGGACTAGGAATTCTATGCGGTAGGTCTACAGAAATATGTGCTGGGATATCCTATCCTACCCTATTGTCTACTGAATAAACCCCATTTCTTCCGCATAAATTCTTTTGTACTTATATCCTGAATTGGGTTATAATTTTTCTTTGAATGTACAGGAGCTGTGGGTTTTCTTGGTTCCAATTTGTTTGTCAGGAGGATCTACAGAAATATCAAGTGCGATTAAGGTAATCTGAGTCAGAACTGAGCACTTCCATAGGTTTATGCTGAAGACAATAAATTTTTGGAGGAAGCCTCTGGTAATGTGTTGGGAACCTAACAATGTTTACAGGTAGAATCACAATGAGGATGTATTCTTTTCTATATTGGGGAAGCCCTGAGATTTTTTCCCCGGCTGTAATTGTCTTTACAACTTAGATAATTAGTACAATATCCAACTCTTGTGGTTACTGTTTCATCCCCTTATAAAATAGGGATCCATTGAAGGACTGGTTCAACTATTCAATATATGTAAAGGGGGGATGAAGTCTCGGAAATGAATTTTTGTGCATCTGAATTTTGTATGAAAGATCTGAATATCATTCTTATCTGCTGCCTCCTTCACACCTATTTTATTATTTGCCTTTTTCTTTGTATTCTGGCTGTGTAAATATTTTTTAATATCCTGCCTTGAAAGAGACAATAATTGGAAGGAAGAAGAGAAGGGTCAGAAGAAGAATGGGCATAGTGTAATGTGAGAAATTAAATCAGCATATTCGCTATTTATCTCCAAGTTTAACCAGTGAAGTTGGCTAGGAATTTGATCGGATAAATTTCTCTAATATTATTTTTAAAAGAAAAATGATAAATTAAATAAGTGTTTTTATTAGTTAAAGTTAATTTATGTGTAGAAATTTTCATTTTATTAAAAGATGATTTTAATTTATTCATAAATTAATTTTACTTTGCAGATATTTTTGTTGGTAGTAATATATGGTTTTTAACCTGTGTTCAGTGGTGTTGGCAAATAATAATCTTACTTCTTGATTAGGGCACTTTTCTATTTTATTATCAGTTTTATGCGACTTTTGTCAGCAATAATATTAAAAAAATCATTAATTACGAAAATAGAGATCTTAAACTAATTTCCAATGAGAATGTGACATGTAACTATAAAAGCATGTTCCATTTGCACACTAATGAGACCAGGTTGTGCCAACCACAGCCTTCGAGTGCTTAGGGAATAATAACTATAGAGGATAGCCTAGAACACTGCCACGTGGCTGATAGGGTTGCATGCTGACACTTTCATCATTAACTACTTGTTACCAACATACTATTTCCTCAAACTCCGTACCTCGTACGTTGTCAAAAACAAACCAAGTACATTATTATATAACCCATTCTACCCAGCGCCCTTTGCCCCATCCATCAGTGCAATGAACAACACCTCTTTTTTTTTATAGAAAATATAAACTGACGAGAGTATTAATGTTTCTCTCTCTCTCTTTTTTTTTTTAACTAGTGTTTTAAAAATCAAACTTGTCATTAGTAAGATCAAGATACTTCATAACTGAATTATTTGTTAAACAGCATGAATTTGTGTAATTAAAAAATTATTAAAATATTTAGATATACATGTTATTTGTTGTGTAAATTAAGGGATGTGTTAGTCTAGTGGTAAGTGATGTCTTCTATTCAAATTTTCATATGGTTGCATATTTTATTGTGCTCACTCGTACATGAAGTCTGAAATATTTTTATATTGTTTTTAATTTGAATTAATATTCATTCAATTTATTTTTGTTTAATGCTTTTTTTCTTCTGTTGAATACAATGGGATGGAATATCATAGATAATAAATTAATAAAAGAATTTCTGTTTATTTAGAGTAATTCTAGTAACACTTGTTGTACTATTTCTATTGATACCGACCTACAAAAAATAACTTTAATTTTTTAAAAACAAAATTATTTTTATCAAAATAAATATCTAATTAAAACATAAAATATATTTGACCGTTTTTTAGTTTGTGTTCCAGTTCCATAGTTTCTGTTTCTGTCTTGTAAAGATGCAGACTTTGGTTTGGGAATCCCTCACTTCATCACCAATCCTCTCTCACCTCCCACCAATTTGCTCTTCCACCAACCGACCAAGCCTCTCCCTTCATCACTCCTCAAACCCAAGATCCAACCTCCATCTCTTGACCCTCCTCTACCACGAGCCACCGAGTTCCACCTCCTACTCTTCCATTCTCGACTCTTGTTGGTCCGCCACATTGGGAAAACAACTTCATGCCCACTCCATAAAATCAGGGTTTCAAGCCCACGAGTTTGTTACCACCAAGTTGCTCCAGATGTACGCTAGAAACTTCTCTTTCCAGAATGCATGTCATCTGTTTGACACAGTGCCGTATAGAAATTTGCACTCTTGGGCCGCACTCTTGCGTGTTCACGTTGAAATGGGGTTCTTTGAGGAAGCGTTCTTGCTCTTTGAACAATTGCTATATGAACCAGTGGGTTTGGAATTTTTCGTGTTCCCCGTGATGTTGAAGATTTGTTGTGGACTTTGTGCTGTGGAGCTGGGTAAGCAAATGCATGGGATGGCGTTGAAATATGAGTTTGATAAGAATGTTTACGTTGGCAATGCTTTGATAGACATGTATGGTAAATGTGGAAGCTTAGGTGAGGCCAAGAAAGTTCTAGAAGGAATGCCCCAAAAGGATTGTGTCTCTTGGAATTCTTTGATCACTGCTTCTGTTGCTAATGGGTTGGTATACGAGGCATTGGATCTCTTGCAAAATATGTCTGCGGCTGAGTGTGGTATAGCACCTAATCTTGTTTCTTGGAGCGTGGTGATTGGTGGATTCGCACAAAACGGTTACTATGTTGAGTCGGTTAAACTCTTTGCTAGAATGGTGTTAGAAGCAGGGATGAGACCGAATGCTCAAACGCTGGCGAGTGTTATTCCGGCTTTCGGGAGGATGCAATGGCTACACCTTGGGAAGGAACTGCATTGCTATGTTGTTAGACATGAGTTCTTCTCTAATGCTTTTGTTGTGAATGGGTTAGTGGATATGTATAGAAGGTGCGGTGATATGAAAAGTTCCTTCAAAATGTTTTCCAGGTTTTCAAGGAAATGTGCTGCATCTTACAATGCAATAATAGCTGGTTATTGGGAGAATGACAATGTCTTTAGGGCCAAGGAGTTGTTTGATCAGATGGAAAAGGAAGGTGTAGAAAGGGACAGAATATCATGGAATTCTATGATATCAGGGTATGTGACCAGTTCTCTGTTTGATGAAGCTTTTAGCTTGTTTAGAGATATGTTGAAGGAAGGAATTGAACCCGATTCTTTCACACTAGGAAGTGTCCTTGCTGGCTGTGCTAATATGGCTTCTATTCAACGGGGGAAAGAGATACATTCCCATGCCATTGTCAAAGGTCTGCAATTCAACAGTATAGTTGGTGGAGCTTTGGTAGAAATGTACTCTAAATGCAAGGACATAGTGGCTGCTCAAATGGCATTTGATGATGTGAGTGAAAGCGATCTTCCAACTTGGAATGCTTTGATTTCAGGCTATGCCCGCTCTTATCAAGCTGAAAAGATTGGAGAACTTCTCCAGAAAATGAAAAGAAATGGTTTTGAACCAAATGTGTATACATTGAATGGTATTATAGCTGGCTATGTGGAAAATAAACAGTGTGACTTGGCAATGCAATTGTTCATTGAAATGCAGATTGCAAATTTTAGGCCTGACATATACACAATTGGAATGATTTTAGCAGCATGCTCTAAGTTGGCTACAATCCAACGAGGAAAGCAGGTCCATGCGTATTCCATAAGAGCCGGGCACGACTCAGATTTTCACATTGGAGCTGCCCTAGTGGACATGTATGCAAAATGTGGGGATGTTAAGCATTGCTATCGTGTATATAAGAGGATATCAGAACCTAATTTGGTGTCCTACAATGCTATGATCACTGCATATGCCATGCATGGATACGGGGATGAAGGAATTGGTATTTTTCGCAGAATGTTAGCTGGCAATGTAAGACCAGACCATGTGACTTTTCTAGCAGTTCTTTCTTCATGTGTTCATGCTGGATCATTGGAGATTGGTCATGAATGCTTTGATTTGATGGCAACTTACAATGTGGTGCCCTCATTGAAACATTATACATGTATGGTTGACCTGTTGAGTCGTGCAGGCAAGCTCTACGAAGCATATGAACTTATCAAGAGCCTGCCAATGGAAGCTGATGCAGTGACCTGGACCGCTCTTCTTGGTGGTTGTTTTAGTCACAATGAAGTCACCTTGGGTGAAATAGCAGCAGAAAATCTCATAGAATTGGAGCCGAATAATCCTGGAAACTATGTTATGTTGGCAAACTTGTATGCTTCTGCGGGGAAATGGCATTATCTTGCTCAAACTAGACAATTAATGAAAGATATGGGAATGCAAAAGAGTCCCGGGTGCAGTTGGATAGAAGATAGAGATGGGATTCATGTGTTCGTTGCTAGTGATAAGACTCACAAAAGAACAGACCACATTTATTCTATTCTGAACAGTTTAACTAATTTAATTAGAATAAAGCATACGAATCATTTATAAATTGGGCAAATAGTTATTGATACCTGTTCAATATCAAAAAATATTTCACACAACAATAGGGTTGTTTAATTAAAAAAATGATAATACAAGAGGGTTGCGTTATCATTGACAACAGCATGCATTACATGAGTCCCACACATTTTATATCATTTCCTAATTTACCTCAAACAAAGGATTGGGCAGCATCTATATTCTCTAGTAGGTTATCTGGTTTTCATCAAACATTAAATAGTATAAAAGCTTATTATAGACAACAGTATGAATGAACAATTTCATGATTGGAATCAATAGATCAAGGAAAATCATAAGTCAATGCTACCAGTTCTCCTTTACAATTTTTGTTTTTTCAAGTATGAATTTTCCTTCCTTGTACTTCTGTGATGCTACATAAGCTCTTTCGTATTTCCAACCCAACACTTCATGGCAGTCTCCACAAAGAACATCAGCAACAGTGTGGAGGCCAGTCATGAGGTGTCTGTCTTCTTTTGGCCCTACCACAATATTCATTACATGGGAGAACAGAAAACCTCGACCATATCTTCCCTACTCATAAAAAAACAGTATGAAAGGAATGTCAAACAAGGATACGGGCAAACTTACAATAAAACTAAAACACAAGTTTCATCGACCAAAATCCCATTGTCAAAGGACACATAAAGCTAGGAAGCACATATATTACTTATACAACATGAACACATGAGTACAACAAATTTTACATATTATAGAATTTAATGTTTTAGAAAAGAGTGTAAGTCATTATAAACATATAACAAAATGCAAAAAATACCTAGTTATTGTGGTGCTCTAATCAGAATAGTATAAACTTTAAAGTTTATAAAATGCATCTATAAAAATTATAAGACGCAGTTAACAGTATTGAAAATGTCCATGCAGTATCTGACTGGGGTCTGTTAAGCACTTCGAGAGAAAAAAAAAAAAAGAGTTTGTCACTAACTCATGAGCTTTTCTCAAATTAGCTTCTCTAAATAATTGCTTTTAACATATACATGAGTTTGTCTTAAATTAAGGAAAAGTTTATTCTTTATTAAGCACTTGTTCCTAAGTTCTTAGTACATGCTAGTTTATTCGGTGAAATTAACCATAAAACATATTCCTGTAAGCTGACAAATGCCGACTGCCATAGCCAATTCATGAAGGGAAGCTCACTGGCAGCAGTATATGCTGAATATTTGTGAGATGAACAACAAAGAGATAATCATGGAAGACACTAAACTAAAATATGATATTATATTCAATAGAAAACCTCGAGTCATTTTGTAGATGTCCTACACCCTTATTCATTTTTATGCCATTTGGATCGAACTCACTTTTAAAGTCTAATACAGTAACACTGTACACTCTACTTTTTCTCTTTTTTTCCCTGTGTCTTCTTTTCACCTCAATCAAACAATACGATCATGATCATACCCCTACAACCAGTTTACCTCATTTAAATGAAAAGCAACACAGAACAAAACACAATACACGAGGAGAGTTCTTAAGCACCATTTTATAAACAAACAAACTACCCAGGAGACAAAGTAAATTTCATCTCCCCTAACTATGAAACGCAAGAAGAATAAGTAACATTCTCATCAAATGTCCACAAATTCATAAATTTCTGAAAAAATAAACAGGAAAAAAGACGCCAACCTGAAAGGTTGTAGAAATTATATCATCATGGAGGGAGACTTGGTTCCTACAATTACAACAACAGTATAAGCGAGGCCATATCATTTCCTCCATAATCTTTCAACAATTGCAAACTAAACACGTCGTTTATCTGAAAACAAAAAAACAGAAAAACCAAAAATCTCAGTTATGCAAGAGTGAGAACAACACACAAGAGGTTTAGATCTGCAACAAGAGAAAAACAGTGGGGCATTAGTTGCAAAGAAGGAGATTTCTTTACCTGAAACCACCAAAAGATGAGCCAAAGATCTGCAACAATAAATATATTAAGGCAGAATCAATCGCAAATTCTGAAAAAAGGTAAAGGAAAAAGAAGAATTCCGCACATCAGTGAAACCAACTGCAACACTACGCATAATAATATCCTGAATGAAGAAGAATAAAACTAAATAAAATATAATGCCAATTTCATTCATCATTGAATTTCCATAAAGGATGACATATTCTATGAACTATGATCGGAATCTGATTTGGTTAAGCTTCCATAATACAAATTTTTTAATAGGTCGACAATATTTTAACAATGATCTGTCTATACGAATTTATTGAACATCAATGTAAATATAATATTTTATTTCACAAAACATTATTTAAACTTAAAAAATTATTAATTTTTTTATCTATTTTATGATGTTTAGATTACTTCTTATTTGTTTTCAAAAGCTTAATTTAATTATTATTTTTTAAAACGAGTGAAAATAATAATTCATTTTTAAATTAATTTCGATAATAATTAATATTTTAATACATCACGTCAAAATCCACTTGTCCCAATCCTTGTTGATAGAATGATTCCTAGTTTCTGTCTTGTCGATTTGACAAAATAGATTAGGTAAATAGAAAAAGAATGAGTCTTGGTTTTGCTTAAATTATTTTGTAGATCTTTAAACTATTTTTGAAAATTTTTAATTTTAATTATATTTCTACTTTCTAAAATTTTAGGTAAATAATTTATGAGTTCTTTAAATTTAAAAAATATTTTAATCTCTTAAATTTTATAAAATATAGTTTAGTTTTTGAATATTAAAATCGAAGGATTAAATTAAAACTATATAATTTTTTCGATTTAATTATACATCAATCTGTCATTTTATCTCTCCGTTGGTGGCGGTGGCAAGTGCAAGTTCTGGTTAGTGGCCACCGTGATTTTCTTCGGCGCCAAATGCTAAAGCATGAACTTTTTTTAAAAATCACCGGCTTCTTCTTCTCTTTCTCCGTTTCATCGGTGAGTTCTACTCTCCCTTTGCCTTCTCTCCAATTTGATTTCTTTCCCTTGTAGCTCTAAACGGTGTGTTTCGATTACACTGCGCAGCGTTTGCTATTTCGTGCCAGATCTCTGCTTCTCTTGTTTTCCCCCATTTTTCAGTCACTTTTGTGGTAGTAGAATATGTTGTTGGAAATTTAAGCTCCTTTGCTTTATCCCTCACGCATTTTAAATCAATCATGAGATCAAGCTATAACTGCTCCGTGTGAACACTGTAACTTTTTGCTTGCAGCTGATAATGGTTCAAAGTAAGGGTTTAATACAGAATTAGTTATTACTTTTCCACTTTGCAGTGTAATATAAGTAGTTATTGTACTAATTGTTGAATTACTTGTGTTTTAGTTGGCATGAGAATTGAGGAAATTCTTCAAGATTCCCATTAAAGAGAAGAAGATAGACCATATCAACCAGGATGTTCAAAGTTACTGAACTGTGATCAAATGAAAGATTGAAAGCCATATTTTGTGCATAGGCTCCCTACATCATTGAGGTCCTTTAATTAATTTCTCTCTCTTTTCTTCTCAATTAATCACTCAAATAAAGAAACAAATAAATATGCATGTATTTACACATAGCTTATAATATATAATTTGTATTGCACAACCTAGTTTTTCTTTCGCAGCATAAGTTTAGTTTTGCACTGTGGTATTTGGCTAATGATTGTAATGCTGGTATGCTGACAGACAGTTGTTGCTGTTGTTCAATTAGGTGTTGTTTTTGGTGCTATTAGCTCTCCTGGGACTACTTTTTTTTTTTTTACATACACAATTTTAGTATTTTTCTAAGCAGAAATTTATCACCAGGCAAGTCAAAGTTCTCTTTATCCTTTTTATTTTTTCCCCTATTTTAGTTTGTTTTATCCTAGTTCTTCATGTTACTATTCACAATTATAATGATTAACAAATTCGAAAAGATACAATATTTGTTGTCAACTCTTCCTATTGCCTTATGTCTTTACATCCTTGAAAATAATAATATTATTATTAATATTAATAATAATATTATTATGCAACTCTTCCAATTATAATAATATAGTTTTCAAGGTTATCGTTAACAACCATGAATATCGTGTAATTATGATATGCAATAATACATTCTTTTCTCTAGTTAGATAGTTAAAATAATGGTTAAGTAAGTTGTAACACCTACCAATCCATTTCTAGGTAACTTATTTCAGGTTCCAAAATGGCAGCAGAAGATGGTCAATTGATTTGAAAGAAGAAAAGTCCTATACAAGGCAACTGCAAATATTTGAGTTATAATTTGGTGATTTACACGAAGTCAAATCTAGGCCTACATAACGTAAGGAAACAAAACGATTGTATAACATGTTTTAATTCAAGCTAATTATTACTTAAATATGTAAGGTCTTTTTAAAGAAAAACCAAGCTAATTATTAATAAATCAACAAGATTTAGTTACAGACCCTTTACTATTTTTTTCTTATAATTTTCAATAATAATATTAAAATGTATAATAATTTCATTTTTAAAGAGCATAAAACTTAAACTTTATATATTCAATTAATAATAATTTTATTATTTTCAAAACCATACTTTTTAAAAATAATTGATAATATAATATGTAAATATCTATTTATAAATTGCTTATAGATTACAATTTGGCCACTGTAGGTCTAACAAGCATTTATATTATTACGATAGACTATGATATTATCTTAAAAAATAGTTTAGACATAACAAAATCCTTTAATCATATATTTTAGTTTATATGGAATCTCCTACAAAAATTGTCAAAGCACTATATTTAAGAAGTAGAATATTACTAGTTGAATATTGATTTATGGTATTAATGATGTTATTCTTAGTAAGTGATTTTGCTATTTCATGAACATGGTTTAGATGATGAAAATGTGAAAACGTTTTGGTGCAAATTACATAGACATGTTAACTGAATTGTAAAGTTTAGATACATAGAATTATCTCTACCTATTCAGCTGTGAAATTCAAGTATATAGGAAACAAATACTTAAGAAATGAGAAGTAATATTGCAAGATTCAAATGTATAAAATACTTGTGATTCTTTCTATTTTAAGTAGAAAATAGTGACTCGGGTTGACCTAATTGAGATCCAGGCTTAGTGAATCTCATTTTACTGCCTTTTGTCTAGTGTTTTCCATTTTTTTTCATTACCTTGCTTTATGTGTCCATTAGGAAGCTAAAGAATTTTCATTGACCTGGGTTCCAAATCTTGACAAGACAATTGTTCTTAAATGCTAAGAGGTGACTCTTTTGTCTCATGTCTTTTTGGATAATTCATTCCCACTTTATTGTTGTATATGTCTAGACTTTGAATTTATCAGAGCACTTTAATCTTTTTTGTGAATCATTGAAAAACCCTGCGTGGATAACTTGCTTGTTTTTCAACTGATTTATAAGCTATTAGAAGATATTTACAGCTTTTGTATAATTGTACAGTGGAATTATATATTTTGGCGGTAGTAGATAATTTGTGGTGAAGAAAAAAAATTGCAACGAGTAGTAAGGTGAAATAAGCAATGAAGGAGGAGGTGCCAATTGACTTGGTGTCACCTTAGGCACCATCTGCGATATCTTGGCATTCGTCAGATGGGCCAACAAACCCGTAAAATAAACCAAATTGATGAACCTTTTTCCAAAATAATTATACGCTGCATCCAGCGAAAGGTGACTTTTAACTGAAAGACAAAAATTACTCAGTTTTGATCCCAATTAGAATCAAGAATTTGAGGAAGGGATGATCAAATGTGAAACTTCTCTTTCGGTTTTCAAACCATTGCTCCATTTTAATTTATCCGTTCCCTGTTGACTTTTCTTTTCTAAGTTCGTTTTATTCATTGTAAGTGCAGTTAAATCTATTAAACGACATTTGGGTAGCTGCCGCACACTTTGGCAATTTGCAGTTCCAGCCACTCTCTCAGATTCAGACATTTCATCACGTGTTATAGATGACAGGAACATTCTGAGGCCGAGTCTGAACAACTCCAAATCCGGTCTTCATGTGCTGGACCTCATCCAGTGCGGTTCGCTCAAACCAGACAGAACCTTGTACAACACGTTGCTAAAGAGGTGCACCCAGTTGGGGAAGCTCAAAGAAGGAAAATTAGTGCATTTCCACATTCTCAATTCGGAGTTCAAAAATGACCTCATTATTCAGAACTCCGTTCTCTTCATGTATGCAAGGTGTGGCAGTTTGGAAGATGCACGCCGCATGTTTGATGAAATGCCCTGCAGGGATATGGTCACTTGGACCTCCATGATCACTGGCTATGCTCAGAATGAAAGTGCCAATGACGGACTTGTGTTGTTTCCCAAGATGCTTCGGGAGGGTGCAAAGCCAAATGAGTTCACATTGTCAAGCTTGGTGAAATGTTGTGGATTTATAGCGAGCTATGGTTATGGGAAGCAGATTCATGCTTGTTGTTGGAAGTATGGATGTCACTCTAATGTGTTTGTGGGGAGTTCCCTCGTGGATATGTATGCTAGGTGTGGCTACATAGGGGAGGCAAGGTTGGTTTTTGATAAGTTGGTTTGTAAGAACGAGGTTTCTTGGAATGCTTTGATAGCAGGTTATGCTAGAAAGGGTGAAGGAGAGGAGGCGTTGGCTATGTTTGTGCGGATGCAAAGGGAAGGTTATAGGCCAACTGAGTTTACTTATTCAGCACTTCTGAGTTCTTGTTCGAGTATGGGGTGTTTGGAGCAAGGGAAATGGCTTCATGCACATTTGATGAAATTGGGTAGGATGCTGGTTGGTTATGTGGGAAACACCCTACTTCACATGTATGCAAAGTCGGGCAGCATTTGGGATGCAGAGAAGGTCTTTGGCAAAATGGTGAAAGTGGATGTTGTTTCTTGCAATTCGATGCTGATAGGGTATGCCCAGCATGGGCTTGGGAAGGAAGCAGTGCAGCAATTTGAAGAAATGATAAGGCTTGGGATTGCACCCAATGATATAACATTCCTCTCTGTTCTTACTGCATGTAGCCGTGCTAGACTTTTGGATGAGGGTAAACATTACTTTGAATTGATGAGAAAGCACAATATCGAACCAAAGGTTTCACATTATGCAACAATTGTTGATCTTCTTGGTCGAGCTGGTCTTCTTGATCAGGCAAAGAGTTTCATAGAAGAAATGCCAATTGAGCCCACTGTGACTATCTGGGGTGCTTTGCTGGGTTCTTGCAAGATGCATAAAATCACCGAAATGGGTGCATATGCTGCCCAGCGGGTTTTTGAGCTTGATCCATCTTATCCAGGGACACATACATTACTTGCCAATATTTATGCCTCTGCTGGGAGGTGGGAGGATGTTGCAAAAGTCAGAAAGATAATGAAAGATAGTGGACTGAAGAAAGAACCAGCATGTAGCTGGGTTGAGATTGAAAATTCGGTCCATGTGTTTGTGGCAAATGACCTTGCTCATCCACAGAAAGATAAGATCCATAAAATGTGGGAGAAACTAAATCAGAAAATTAAGGAGATTGGCTATGTTCCTGACACTAGTCATGTGCTTCTGTATGTAGACCAACATGAGAAGGAATTAAATTTACAGTATCATAGTGAGAAGTTGGCTCTTGCATTTGCCCTTCTGAATACTCCTCCTGGATCTACTATACGCATCATGAAAAATATTAGGGTTTGTGGTGATTGCCACTCAGCAATAAAATACGTGTCATTGGTGGTTAAAAGGGAAATCATAGTGAGAGACACCAATCGGTTTCATCATATTCGTGATGGATCCTGCTCGTGTGGGGACTACTGGTAGTGCCAATTATTATGAAAATCACCTAATCACAGACAGGTAGCATGGGATAGTTTTCTGTAAAAATATTATCACCTAATCATTTAAGAAATGAGTTTTTTATATGCAAGTTCTAATTCTTAATGAATGTAATTTTTTGTTTTGTCTATGCTGCAGATATGCTAACCAAGTTGGAGAGTTTTTTGAATGGGTAGATCTCAAGGCAAAGTAAGCCACCTTAGTCAAAGTAAGCCCAGTTGAGTGAGAACAAAAAGTTGCCATGAGGTTTTATTTAAAACAATCCAAGACAAGTATATGAACTTGTGAAATAAATTAAACAATACTATCTATGCCATTGCCGTTAAAAACAAGATTTTATTTAATACCTGCATCTGAAAGTTTGAGGAGGCCCCAATTGTTTTATCTGAGAATTGTAGCTA